AAGAATGCAAACAAATGTGCCTGGGGTTCATGAGTTCAGTCAAGCACAGGGTGCTAGATGGGAAAACTTAACAGGGTTCCCCCAAATGAAACGTGCGTACGGAATATTTCTTCTACACACAAACTTCATGCCCTCAGAGTATTTCACAATGCAAACACACCAAATTATCCTGCACAGCAGCCTCATTTTAACAAGTTATGAAAGCCTATTTCCTCTATAATGGGAAATACCTGCAAATGAAGTGAAATTTATTAAAATGTTAAAACGCGCTGTCAACTTGCAAACAATTATCTACTTAAGCTTTTCATAAAGAAATAATTGTTACCCAAAGGATTCTGAAACCCAGTAACTGAAGTAGGAAAATAATTCTTAGCATTTGCTACCTCACTAATGACATGTGACAACCAGGAAGGGTTCCATTTCAAAAACCATAATAATGATTACAACTTCCCCTGTAAACAAGCCACGTTTTTTCACAACTTCAAAATATACTCCAATTATTATAACATTTAACAACAAAACAACCAAATTTGCCACCCAACAAGAGAGCACAGCTTTAAGAGTTCAACAAGGCTAAAGGAAACTAGTTGTTTATGATAGCAATGAGGTGACTGAACTCTGTGGAGCACTCCAAAACATGTTTAATAAGAGAGCAAAGTACAGTCCAAAAATCTGGTAGGCTAACTTGGTTTAAACTCTAATCTGTTCATTTCATGACAAGAGTGACTATCTCTTGAGATCTTTAAACTTTTTTGGTATGCTGTTACCTCTGTCTTTCTTCAAAACTTTTCTTTGCCTCAGGGAATGCCCACTCCCCACCCCGACCCTACCCCACCCCACCCCTTCTCTCCAGACGGGACAGTCTGGCAACTCCAGGCCTCCCATTGACCAGACTGCCTTCTGTGCAGCCCTCTGGGTAGAACTGTAATCCTTCTTATTAATTAACGAGATAATGGTGGTTAACCAGAAAGCGATATTAATGCTAACTACCTAGGAAACTTCAACCAAAATTATTGCAGTCTTTTTGTAGTTTTTCCTAGTATGGAGAATTGGACACTGAGAATCTGGCAACATTTCCAGGCAGAACTGAGAAATTAAGGAATGAATGGTTTATATCAGACCTTAGCATGTAGGTTCCCTCGTTAATTTTTTTTCACATTTACACATTACTAACTAGGGAAGAGAGAAAGCAGCTCTCAAGTGTTACTATAGATTTTGGAAGTGTGGAAACTGAGGAAACTAAAAATTGCCTAAGAAATAATCAGGGATGTAACTGAAAGCGACATCAGTCATAATGGATGCGATGCATCATGCAATATATCACTACATTTGGCATGTCCTCCCCACACTTGTCCATAGGATCCCTGCAGCCCACAGACACGCATGTCCCAGGAAGGTGTGTTGTGCTAGGCTTGCCTGGTTTTTGTTTTGTTTTGCTTTGCTTTGCTTTCATGAATGTAATAACAAAGACAGTATGGGGAATAGGTACCACCTGCCCAAGAATCATTGGACATCTTTACTGTCTTTGGGAAAATGGAGACCACCTTACAGCTATTTTTCCTTTAATCTGTCACAATCTTTAAAAAAAAAAAAAAAAACTAAAAAAAAAAAGGAAGGTTTTAGATGAGCTAAGGTCTGCTGCAGGAAACAAGCAAGCAGCTTTCATTCAGGGATTGTCAAAAACTTTCCAGTGTGCCCACTGCAATGCGGATGCCAACCAACGAATCAAAGGCATTCAGCAACTAGACAAAGAGGGTCTGATGCCAACCTCGGTGCCACTGGCAACCATTATTGGCATCAAACACAGTGTCTGCCTTTTTTTTTTCCCCCTTCGCCTGGCACTTCACAAACAAAATGGCGGTTCTTGTAGCAACGGAACAGCCGAAGCGCAGCCCTCTGAATCAATAACATCAAATGATTTTATGGATTTAAACACAGTTGCTCCCAATGATGTATACATTTCAGAGAAAGTGGAAGGCACATAATTTTATAAACAATTATATTGAACATGACCCTTTACTAATGTAAAGAAATAGTAAAATGGACTGAATTGTGGTCAACCAGACTATATGCATAGAAGCTGAATAACAAAGACATTGAGCTTTAAGAAAATACTGCCTAGTGATGCAAAAGTCTAATAAACTCTGTATCAAAAATGATTTCAAAATGTATAAATTTTCCCCAAACCATATCAGATGCAGATGTAGCACTGTATCTTATGTCAAAGCTCTAGTAACTCTTTCCACATTGCAGAAAAGATGAGACTGCTGGGCATGAAGAAGAAAAATTGAACCAAAAGAGAAAGAGGGGGAAAGAAAAGCATGTGAAGTTGGTCAACAATGGAACTTTATTATATGTTGGTCTTTATTGCATCCTCTAGAAAGGATGCAGTATATGATCTTGTATAAATAACCAAGAGGACTATTGACATTTCTAGATCTGGAAATTGTCAATATATTGTAACATCACTCCACACTGCAATGCGGATGCCAACTAACAAATCACAGGCATCCTGAGCTAAACAAAGAGGGTCTGATGCCAATCCTGGTGCCAGTGGCAACCATCTTTGGCATTCTCTCCGTTCTTTCTCATGCTTTTCTCCTAACCATTTAGAAGTGGAGAGAGAGGAAGTAAAAAGGGAGGAAGGTAATTGTGCTGCTCATTCTGTTGCAATCATCACATTTTTCCTTTTTGATTTTTCTTTCACGCTTTCCTTATACTTTTTTGTCTAATGTATAAAGCAGACCTAAGTAAGTTTTTGTGTACTCACAAGGATAAATAAAAAGTTATGATGTAAGAAACCCAGCTCTCTGATTGACTACCATCTTTTAAAAACCTTCCTTCTTTAATCAATGGCACTGCAAAACGATGTAATTAAACTACAAGTGACAAAGAAAAAGATATAAGTTTTGGAAATAAGAAAACACAAAAGCACCCTGATGTGAATTTGTTGAAGAAAGAGCCCAACAGATAACGGTACATACAATTATTAGATGCACAGATTAAAATAATGAAAGGTTCATATAACAGAGGTTACTGAAAGAACAACAAAATCAGTATTTTATCTTAAAATACGGTCTCAAAGAGTTGCTTAAAACTTTATGATCATCATGACCCCAAGGTGCAATGCAGAAGGCATTGATGCATTTTTTAAAATCTATCTTCACAAATCCAAAAGATATGTTCTCTATTGTCAGTTCTTCAAAACTAAAAGAGTTGGCTGCCTGCCTTGAAAGTAAATATGTGTGCATGTACACCTTAAGGACCATCCTTCAAGCAACTTAAAAAGTGAGCAGCAGTGAAATAGTTGCAAATCTTCCTTCCTACACTATAAAGTTACATAACCCACTTTTTAAAACTTTACTTCCAGCCTTGACTTTCACAACATAGTTGCAACACATTTATAGTCAATGTAACACATATATACAGCCCACCTTAAAAATGTCACCTCCTAGACAGCTGTCAATCAAATTAAGTGTCATGTGTTAATGAGTTTTTTATTTTAGGGTACACAGGATGAAAATACATTTTCCCTATCATTATGTGGATTTTAATTCTTACAGTAAGTGCAAAGCTTCGTTTGTAAAGAAAATGTAGTATTTCCAAATGAGTAATGTCCAGCACCGTTATTTAAAGTAGACTAAAAATTTTGTATTACCCTGAGGCATATCTCTAAAACTGTTTTATAGAAATATTAACACAAGAAAGTACATAGTAAGTATCTAGATTTCAAAGTCAAAGAGTAATTTTTCTATATTACTTTTAGATAACAATAAAGTACATAGCAGTGTATTAAACCCCACGCTTACACAACAAACATCGAATAACTGTCTGCCACCTGGCTATCTGCAGGCCATTTTTTCCTCCCACCAGGCCACGTTCAGAAACGATCCGCCATCTGTGGCAGTTCAAACTTCAAGCCACTTTTGGTATGCTGAATTTTTAAAGTAATATTTTACTGTGGACTGTTGCTAATATAAAGTCATCTATTTCTTGACACACTGATTTGAAGAAAAGAAATTCTCACCTACTTATGGAAAATATAGTAAGAAAAATAGAAATAATAGGGAAACACATTTCATTAACTCAAAAAACACTCAGCAACAACATCACCTATATTGAACTGTTCAGGCAACATTTATCCCACTCTCTTTATCGAGTATTTTAAAACGTAAGTATGGTATGTGGTTTCTGCATCCTTCTTGAGATTTATTTTAAACCAGTGTAACCAGTCTATTTTCTATTTTTGTTCTATAATGTTCTATAATTTTTGTTCTATAATAAGGAAAGCAGTGACTTTCCTCGTTGGTAGTTTTATGAATTTACATTCAAGTAAACTAACAATATATAATGTTCCCAAGCCATTCTGGGAAAGTATTATAAATTACTTAAACAAGGACTATATTTGCAATGTCTACAGGGAACATTCCACAATCAAAAGTAGGTGTTACGGTATTAAAATTAAACAAATTAAGGTCTCTGTAAGATGCATACTTTGATAATGGCTATCATGCATTTTGTAATAGTAAACAATAATTCTATTTTTAGTGCAATAGCACTAGATTCTTAAGAAACTTGGTCTACCTCATTGGTTAAGAGGTTTATAAAACAACTATTAAAGAATTTGACTATTCATAAGGTTATGTTTGCAAATCAGGAAAAGATGACCAGATATAAGAAATGTAGCCTAGCACTAAAAGCGAAGTGTAGTAAACTGTACTTTTAGACTATTCTGTCTACTCATGTAAAAAAATGCATGTTTTTGTAGTCTTTGCTTAAGTATCAAAGTCTATCGAGGTACGAAAGCCCCATGTCTATTGTCACGGCTCACACATGGCAGTGGACATGTGAGTGGGAGTGGACACATCACTCATTGAAGCGAGAGAGGGTGGAGGAGAACTAGGGGCCTCAAGAACCATCTAACCCAAGCCAAATATTCCATATGCGGAGGTTTGTGGACACTGTTTGCCGGGCTAGAAGAAAGAACAATCTGCTCCTACCTTGCTCCTGCACGTAGTATGCCAAAAACAAATCAAGCTCCTTAACTGATACTGTGATATGATGTGGCTGGACACAAAGTGCTGGGTTTGTGCAATGTGGGGATTTCATGAGCCGCTCTCCATCGGTACTTTCCAAAGGGATGCCTTTGAACAGGATCACCATGACTAGATCCAGACGCCAGACTTTGTCTGCCTGTCGCAGGCAGTCGATTCTCCTAATCTTACCCTTCTGGTCAGGATTGGATAAGACACAGCACGGATGCTTCTTGCCAGTCACGGTGAGCACAAAGTCCTCTCGGTATTCCTGGCGGATATCTTTGCGCAGTTTGGCCAGGAGCCTGGATGCCCACTTCTGTTTGATTTCAGGCTTTTCACTAAGAAGCTCATCTTTGACTGCTCTTTCTTCATCCTTTGACATTCGCTTCTCGTGCTTTTTAAAGTACTTGCGTTTTCGAGCCTGCAGGTTGAACCAAGTATAGGCAATTGCACGGACATGCGGAAGAAGTGCCTCGATGAATGGGTGAAATTCATCCTGTAGAAGACGGGGTAGGAGAAGAAGAGGCACACGGTTTAATTTTAAACGCTCAAAAATTAAACCAGAATCCATTCCCAATTTGGCATAAAACGTTAAGCATGAAAATAGTACTGTTTTCTTATTCAAAATGCTCAAAATAGCAGGACAAGAAGAAAATAAAGTATGCCAAGCTGCCCCCTCTTCAGTAAAATTCACAAGTTGATCCTCCCTCCTAAAAGAAAATAAGGTTTTATTTTGTATTCCCACTCTGGCCCCATCCCCCTCATTCCTACACCAATACCATGCATTCTGCATTCTTTAAAATATATGCAACCAAGGTGCTTGGCACCTAATTTTATATTTAAATATTTAATTGACCAACTAACACTACACAGTACCATTTTACAAAGAACACAGTGAGGTTTGTTTTGTTTTGTTTTGTTTTTTTAATCAGGAGCAGAGCTGTTCAGAAGGCAGGAGCGGTGCCACAGTTCATTTCTCTTCTCTGTGGCACAGAAACACAAAGCATATAGATGCTCAGTGTAATGCCACACAGTTCCCGCTTTTGGAGCATGCTCTCAGCAAGAGGCTGCTGGTGGCACAAAGAGCATGCGCCATTAAACTTGATCCATTTTCTTATCAAACGTCCAACATTCCAACACTGAAACAGCACCATTCCAAAAGTGGTAACTAGAGAAACCGGTATACAGTGAGGAAAGTGGGCAAAGGACACAGCTTGTCGTATCAGTGTCCTGAACAGTCAGTTTGCATACTTTGAGCAGTGCATTTTCTCGCAGCACCACCAACACCAGCACACACACACACACACACACACACACACACACACGCACACACATACATGCACACATACACGCAAGCACTCTCATGCTCTCTCACAGACACATTCTTGAATTTTTAAATACAAGTTCTAAAGTTGAAAAAAGAAATAAATGTTCTTCCGGTAGCTTTCCTATAGAATATGCAGCATGACAGAGTCACTTAATTTGTTAATGGATCACATGAGTATGACAATTATTCTAAATCCCTTAAAAATCAATCTGAGGTGAACAATGAAAAATGGCAACTTGGCACCAACTTCACATTCTTTGTGTCTCCGCGTGCTCTAGCAGGGTGACACCAGGAGCGCACTGCTGGGCAGTTACCGCATTTGCGGAATCCATACGATTCTTTTGCCACATAGATGGATTATGTGACAGGACTTCAGGACCACATATTTGTCTGCTAGCGAATCCTCAAGTGAGTATTTATACAGTGCCCATCTTTTGAACTAAGCGGTTTACCTTTAGAGTCCTGCATTTTTCCTGCCTGTTTCATCAGACTTTTTTTAAGGCAGAGGGCAGTGAGGAATGGAAGATCATCCTTCCAGCAGATATTTAAAGTTACTTCCAAATGTAGTCAGTGCTTCAATACTTCCTAACTTAGGTAAAACTTATCTTAAAAGCTTAGGCCCAGGCTGTTCGGAAAAAGAACATAACATCCCACGTACATACACTATATGTGTGCAATGAGCCAAGGACTGAAGCACATGAAAAGTCCCACTGCAACCATTTTTCTGATCACACAGACTATACTGTCATCCCAACAACAAAGTAACTTTCTCTACCTGATCATATCCCAAGGTAGAATTTACATATTCATATTGGTCACCCTGAACTGCACAGAATAAATTCTATTTAACCAGCAAACTGAATAATTCTGCTAGGTAAAGATGATGAAAATTAAGTTAGGACCCTGCAACAAAGAAGGTGTCAAAAAAAATTCCATACACCAATGAGTGTATTTTAAAGATGAGACTCAAAAGTCTGAATGTTAAAGAGTATAACATGTCAGGAGTTTGCAGTTTTGACACAGCAGAGGTGTATGGCCCATCCAATCAATAATGTAGTTATCGAGTGCTCTAACATACTGTCGTAAAATGTTCCTACATCAAAATAAGTATGAATCAAAATTTTATAACAATACAGAATGCAGATGATTACATCACAGCATGAGGCATAACCAAATACCATAGAGGAAATCATTAAACCGATCAGTAGTTTCCAGCAGAGATTTGAACAATTCGGTTACTATGTGAGCACATTAAACTAGGCCATGGAAAGAGTTAAACCACAATCTGTTCTTTGTGTGGGAAGGCAGCCCTGCTCACAGCAACCACAGCCTATGATAAGACCTCCCTATCTACATACAGTTTCTGATGCCATGCTTTTAGCATTCACTATAACTACAAAAACTTTGCTTATTCTCCTTCAAAATATATGCAAAAGGAAAGCCTGTTCAAGGAAATGAGGGCTTAAAATGTGCTTTTGAAACTTGCTTCCTATGATATGACTTTTACTTTGATTTATTAATATGACTAACAAACATGCATAGGCGCAACTCATAAGCTAAAACCTTCAGAATGTCAAGAGAATATGAGAGCGCATTGTTTCACTCATTTTACCTTTGCCATGTTTTTTAAAACGCAATATTATTTCAACAAATATTAAGCAATTCAATAATACTTAAGTACTTTCATCCTTAAATACTATGTTCAGTGACATTTCGTTCTTATTAAAAACTCAAAATACAGTTTGATTAAATATGTTTGAGTTTCAATATTGGACTAAGAACATCATCTACCATAACAAATCTTAAAATTTTAACAAATTACTTTAAGCACCCAGAACGAAAAATTGACAGTTAAATTTGGAAACTCTTACCCAATGCACATGAGTTGTTTCTTAAGGTTCACTTGATTTTGCTCAATGAGGCTAAATACTCTTTTAAAATGTACAGTTTTCTTTACAGATTACTTGAAGTAGCAAACCTTTCCAGGTCACCCATCTGCCTTGTTAATATCTTTTAGGGGTTTACCATTATGTGTATGCCTTTAAAGAATATTTGATAAGGGGAAATATTCCCCCAAAATGATCCTAAGTGGCAATCAGTGGAGATCAGCTATATGTCACAAACATTTTTGAATTGACATATCCAATTGTCATCTCCCAAGTATGATTGTTTTCTAATGCTGAGTAACCATATATTCTTTATGATTGTTAGGGACATGAACATAGAGCTCAGTAGCCATCTTCATCTAAACCAAAAAAAGAAAAAGAAAAGTATTGTTGTATTCAAATGTTCCAATGAATTAACACTAAACCATTATAAAAGTTATTTTCAAAAATTATTTAAGATCTAAAAGCTCTATCCTAAGGTAATATGCAAACTTGCTCTTTCAAAATTTTTATTAAAATATACTGACATTCAGTATAGAAATTGTTAGCTGAACTGACTTGATAAAATAAAAGTCAAGTTACAAATGTCAAATATAAAAGGGAATAGCCTAATTTGACTAGGCATATTAATTTTTATTCATGGAAACAATGCTTTCTTTGCAAGGGATAGAAAAATTAAACCAATATAGAGGTGGAAGAGTAAATACTATGTTCTTAGGGTATCATCACTATACAATACACCATGAAAAAACAGTATTCCAGAAGAACTTGAATGACAACAACAAAATAATGCAATATCATTATACCAACTGAAAGTTATACTATTAAGGGCTTATTATGTTATATTACAAAAAAGCAAATATAAAATCATGTCTGACAGTTTTCAATTTTTCTTTTACATGTGATATAGTCTCACGTAAAAATGCTGTTTTATGTTGGTGTACGGATACTACAACACATTATTTTGCTGAAAATCAAATTTATTGGTAGCTTCTTTAAATCAAGTTTCTTTATAAAAACTAGCTATTTTACCGCAGCAACTGGCATACAATTTAAAGTTTTAAAAAAATTAAGAATGTTACTTTATTTTGTATTTGTATGTCTTAAAGCATGCTTCATTACAGTTATGAGGTACTTATAATACAAACTGAACTACTGATCTGATACAAAAGTAACACTGTTAATGTGTCCTCACGTTTCCAGTAACTTACTCACCTATAAAGTCACCTATAAAGGTGGTTAAGTGAGAATTCTAAAGCTAAAATTCCTTCTCTGGTAAAGGCCTTAATTTCCCAAGACAGTTTTAATATATCAACCCAGATTTACATTATTAAAATAGTAGCGAATATGAGTCACCGTGAATTAGTGTAAGTGTGCATCCTTGAATATTAATGTGATAATTGAATGATTATACTGTGCATGCCCCGATTCCATATGTCAGGATGTTGCAATATTATTTTTAACTTACACAAATTAAAACTAGTGACTTCTGAGTACATATTTAGGGGAGACTAAAAATGCAATGTAATCACTATCAGTATTTCCAAAAAGCCAATGCTGGAAATATAAATTCAGGAAAAAAAAAACCCAATTACTCAGTACCTTACAGGTGAGAATAAGAGATGCAATGCTTTGTAAATGAAAAGCCTACTTCGGTTTGTTGTACTTGGTCTCAATGTAAAACAGTGTAAATGGAAGGCATTTACCAGAAAGGAAGAAAAAAGTATCCTGCTGCTGGGTAACAGTAAAGGTAACTTTTACAACTAAAGGCAATTCATTAGACCTGAAAGTTTCATCACATTCATTGACTATTATCATTCATAGCTTTTAAAATACAAATAACTCAGCAACTTATTTTTTTCAGTTTTGTTAAATTAAAGTGCACGTTTACTTGCTTTAAATAGCCATATCTAACTTAATCATACTCAGATGCCAAACAAAATATAAACAATAAAAAATGTGTCAGCCAAAAAGCTACAGGACTGTATCCAATCACTGAATAAGCCTTATCATTGTTTCCATCTTCATTCACAATTTATGAATGCCTCAGTCCTTTTGAATCACAATGGCTTCTAATTGTCATACAATGGAAATCTTAATTATTTGTCCATTATAAAAATGCATCATCGTGATATTAGTTTTAGTTGAACAAACCAAAACTAGCCAATACGTCTTTCAATGTCTATAGTTTTCTGCCAGTGTCAGAAAAAATGGTCATCTAATTACCAACTGTGGTGCTTCTCTGAGGCAAACGGTCCTAGACGTTTACAGGTTTAAACATTATTTGAAATAACAATTCTAGGCTAAGCTATTTAGTTAGTTCACGAGTTGGTTAGCTCGCTGAGCCACGATAAAAACTACGCCCAAGGTAAGTCTGTTCAGTATCGCCACTTTTCCTTTTGAAAGCCTACTTTAAAGTGATATAAATCGCTTTTTGTCTTATTTGTTTTAAGGTAGAGAGTCAGTGTGTCAGGTCCTAACATTGTTCTCAAGGTCTCAGAACAATCTGCAAAGTGGGGAAAAAAATCTGACTTCTCCAGCATTACTTTATGCCTTATGAACTACGCCCAAGCATCGTCAAATGAGCAGGTCTACACAAAATGAATACATTTTAAAAGTCCTTACCATTTACCAAGACCAACTACACTCGTGTCAACATAAAGACCGCCTTTGAGGTGCGATCACTGGGACCCCAAAATACGGGTCACTGAGGACCAGGATTTCAGGTCCCAGAATAAAGCAAAGGAATGGGTCCGCGGACCACAACCCTGGACTTGCTCGGTTGCCCGCCCACTGCCTGCAGCGGAGTCCAGCGGCGCCCACACAGACTCGCCGGAGTCCCCTAGCCCAAGTTCACCGGCAGCGTTTAAGAGCTCCAGGCCCCCTCGAGCTCTCCAGGAGCCCAAGTCCGCCTCCGCACGCGGGCGGCCCGAAGCAGCTGCAGGCACCCAGCTCAAGGGGCCACCCCGCCCGCACTTGGGGGGCCCGCAGGGTCTGGCGCCCCGGGCCTCGGCCCTGCCCACCCCGACGGCTTTGCCTGGCCCGGCCCGGCCAGGCGCCCGCTCTCTGCGCCCTGAGCGCGGTACTGGGCGCGCATGTCGGCCGCGGGCGAGGGGCCTGGCGCCGGCTCCCACGCCGCCCTGCAGGGCTCCGCGCAACTCCGGGCCACTTCTCCGAGGGACGGGGATGCGCGGAGGTTCACTAAAGCTGTTAATTGTCTGCACGGTGGAAGCAACAAAACAAAACAAAACAAAGGCGCATGGGGCCAAAGAGAAAGCTCGAGAAAGCGACCGAGACATGTACCTGAGTGAGACAGATGGGAGAATACATCATGACTTCGCCTTAAAACGCACTTTCCCGGAGATGCCCAAGAAAATCTTCAAGAAGCAAGAATTTCATCTATTCATTTTACAGTCATCTGAGCCCCGCGATGCGATCAATCAGGACTGGGCTCTGCGCTGGATCACCGCAACTTCACAACAAACCCAGTCCTCCTTAAATAGCCAAAGATTCAAGTTCACTCGGCGTGCTAGATTTCCCGGGGTGAAATCCAATCTACACTTTTAACCCTCTTGCAGTCGGAGCGCGTTGGCCGTGCTCGCCGAGGCCGCCGCCGCCGCCGTTGGTGTTGGCTGCTTTTCGCCTGGGTTTTGGGATTTGTTTTCTGTTTTGCAGTTGTTGTTGTTGTTGATGTCGTTGTGGGCTTGGGGGTGCGCGAAGGTTCGGTTTGGGTTGGCTGGGGGACGTGGTGGATGGTAAAATGCTTTTTTAAAAAAAGGCGGGGAGGGGGGCGCAGGGGGGCGCAGGAGGGCGGGCGGGCGGGAGAGCGAGGAGAATGTGTCACCGCTCTGGGAAAGTTCAAGGTTACAGCCCTGAACGCTGCGGCAGGATCCCGGAGTGGCGATCGCAGGCTAAACTTTGCCGCGAGCCGACCATGTGTGTGCGCAAGGGGGAGCGTGAGCGAGTGCGCGCGGGTGGCGGGGCGCGCGCGGGAGAGGGCCGGGTGGGGGCGGGGTGGGGAGAGGGAGAGGCCGCGGCGAGGGAGGGGGCGCCGCGCAGCTCTCGCGGGCGGAAGAGGCTCGCGGCGCGCGGTCCCCGGCTGCAGCCGCCCGCGCCGGTTCCTCCGCGCCCGCCCGCCCGCCTGCCTCGCCCCTCGTCTGACCCGGCCGCGCGTGGAGGCTGCCGCCGCCGCCTGCCTGCAGCCCAGGGGGATCGAAACGATCTCCTGAAAAATCCCAAACGAGAAATCCCGCTCTCCCGCTTGACTCCAAACTCCTCTTTTCAGCTCTGGGCTCTTTTTTTTTTTCCCTCCCTCTGGCTTTCTTTCGTTGCAAAACTTGGAAGTTGAAAATTTCACCAGTTCCACCCTCTGGACCCCGCTCGAGCTCTCTCCAAATCAGACTTAAGGATTGTTTTATTATTTAATTACACAATCATCGCTTTACTCCTCCTCCTGCAAACGCGCATTCCTTTTGCACCAGCCTCTCCACACCCCGCCCCCACCTTCCTCCTCCTCCTCCTCCTCCTCCTCCTCCTCCTCCTCCTCCTCCTCCTCCAGCTCCGCTCCCTCTCTCCTGCCTCCTGCTTCTCCCCACTCCCCCTCTCATTTGTTAAAGGTATCACGCCCGAGCAACAGTAACAGGACCTCCCCCCAAAAAACAGCTCTTCTTTGCGCACCCTTTTCACACCACACACACCCGAAAACCCGCTGCCCAGAAAGAGGGATTTCGGTGGTGTTGCGGACTTTTGGGCCGCGGGAACCTCCGAAGCACCGAACTGGTCTGAGCCCGGGAAGGGAAGAAGTGGAAAATTCCCTCACACCCAGGCCGCCCGGGGCTGCAGCGCCGACGCTCGCACCGGGAGCGGGCGCGGCCCGCGAGCCCGAGGCTGCGGGGCGGAGGAGGGGCGGGGAGGCCGCGCGGGCGGGGACCTCGGCCAACTTGGGCTCAAGTAGTTGAGGCGCAGCGGCGCGAACCCCGCGCGCGCACGCGCGGCCGGAGAGGGGTGCGGGTCCGCGCTGCGCCACGGTCTGCCGCCCTCCGGGGGTGCCCGCACACTTGGCCGGCTCAGAGCGGGAGGACCCGCGAAGCCGGTGCCATTCCGGCTCCCTCCTGCTCCCTCCTCCTCCTCCTCCTCCTCCTCCTCCTCCTCCTCCTCCTCCTCCTCCTCCTCTCCGCGCCCCGCTCTTCTCCTGCCGCAGCCTCACTGGCTCGCTCCCAATCCCCACCCCCGGGGCCAGGGACGCCGGCGGAGAGCGGCTCCCCTCCGCCGGGCGCGGGCAGGGCGGGGCCGGCTGCGGGCCGCGCGTCCCGAGTGCTGTGCCGCCCGCCGCAGCCTCCCGAGGCGCCGCGCGCCCCGCGCTGGAGTGAATGAACTTGACTCCGGGGCGCAGAGAGAGGCGGCGCGCCCCGCGCCCTTTCTCACACCGCCCCCCAAATTCCGGTTTTCCGCCGGGGTGGGTGGGGAAGTGGTGGAATCAAAGGCTGCTCAGACAATGGAGAAAGGAAAAGTGAGTGCCGGAGCCCGAGGGCTACCTAGTGGGGGGCAGCTGGGCGGAGGGCCCGCACTGCCCCAGCCTCGGGCCGCGCCCCCCTCCGCGCTGGCGGGCCAGTTGGGGGGTTCTGGGGCTCGCCGCGAATCGCTTTCCACTTTCTATTTTTTTCCCCTCAACTTTCTCCTCCCTCCTGTTTCGCCCCCGCTCTCCCCGGCGGACCTGAAGGAACCAGTGACTTTTTTCCTGCACGAAGTGGGAGTTATCCACATCAAGCATTTCACAAGGACACATCAAGAAAAGTAGGCAGGTTCAAGTCAACCATGAAATGGTCACTTTTTAACCCCGTCCTGTCCTCATTAGGGAAATGCTCAAACACAGTCCGTTTTCAAAAAGCCCTCCTAATGAGGCGAGCTTGCCAAGTCTACCAGCTGCAGCCCCCGTAAACCGAGAGCCCGAGGAAGAAAGGCGCAGGGGCGGGCAGTGGCGAGGCCCGGGAGGGGGCCGCGAGGCCGCGGGACAGGTACAGTGGCAGGGACTGCACACACGCCGGCGGGTTAACCCTCGCGGGGCGCAGCGCGCCGCGCAGCCGCCCTCTGCTCCCCACCCACCCCAGCGCTCCTCGGAGTCCCGGCCGCGTTCATTTCCTTTGTGCCGGTCATTTCGTCGTTTTGAAAAGCTGGGATAAAGTTGACAGTCTTTAGAGATGAAAGAAACGAGGTGACAGTTGGGGTTAATCCAAATAAATTCTCATTGCTTTCTCATAAAATTTAGGCAGCCTCGTCTGAGACTGAAAAACGCGAGCAAACCCAAAGCATCACTTTGTATTGCACATAAGGCCTCAGCCCTTTCCTCGCTCAGCAGAGTCTGTGGGGAGGGGGCGGGGACGCTCTACTGATAATACCAGCTTTAACTACTGGAGTTTCCCTTTGAACAAATATTCAATTTAACTGGAGTTAATTTACCATAAAAGACATTCCTCTTGGCACGAATGCACTCACGTCCTTGAACACACCTCTTTGAGTGCCTGGACTCTCACAGAAGCCATTATTTGGGATCTCTTTAAAAATCCAGTTCTCTCTCTCTCTCTCTCTCTCTCTCTCTCTTTCTCTCTCCCTCCCCTCTCTCCTCTCTCTCTTTCTCTCTCTCTGTCTCTCTCAGTCTCTCTCTCTGTCTGTCTCTCTCTCTCTCTCTCTCTCTCTCTCTCTCTCTCTCTCTCTCTCTCTCTCCTGTCTCCCCTCCTCTGTCTCTCCCTCCCCACCACACTACCCCCAGTGAAATCCTGGCACCCAGAGAGCACTCTTTTCAGCCAGAGCCCAGAACCAGCCGTTGTCCCTTGGCAAAAGAGGCCCAGTGCTGAGCTATGGGCAAATGTCTCCAGACAGTGCTACCCCTCCTCCCCTTATTACTTTCCTTTCCCTACAGAAACCATTTCCTTTTGCCAACAAAACTAGGTTGCATCCAAAAGTTTCTCCCAAGCTTAAAAAAGAGAAAAGGGGAGAGAGAAATTGACAACCATTACACAGAAGAATTCACAAAAGCTGCAAGCAACACCAGGGGCAAAGAAGCAGCGTCAGATCCAGGTAAGACCCCAGAGACAAGGCTCCTGGGCCTCTAAGGCCCATCCTCTAAGGGTTCAGATTTCTTTGCGGTGCCCCACGGTGGTACAGTGCCTATGACTCGGTACACATTGTTGATCATGGAAGATACTTGGCAGTTTTGGGTTTTCATTTGTTTCCAAGGAAAAGGAAAATGAAAGGAGTAGTAGTGAGAGGACAAAAACCAAAAAGCAGTGCAGAATGGACAGAGACATCCTGGAAGGGGGCCCTTCGCTGGTGCCCATGCTCAGTATATATGGCTGGGACTCCTAGGCCTAGGAGTCCAAGTTGGTGTGGCTGACACTCCCACCCCAGCCCTGTTTTGTCCAGCCAATGCCAAGGTCACTCTGTAGGTCTCCCCAGGAAGAACTCTAGTCTTCTACAGTTGAGGGGTTGGTGAATTTGGGTACATGGAGCATCTGCTATTCTGCTTTCTCTAGTTTTTTGTCAGCTTCCTTTGAGAAATAATAACCTTTAAATTCTAAAGAGTAAAAGAACTAGGAAAGAACATGCATTTTACTCACTTTCCCTTCCTTCCAGCATGCATGTGCTGTTACACTAAGAGTGGTCTTAAAGTATCTGAAAAGTTTCTGATGCTGTCAAAATGGGCCAAGCACTCAGACTGCGGTTCTTATCTCTTTGGAACTCTTTCTGCTTCCTATCAGATGGACGGGGTTAAAGCAGTGGTGTGACCAGCCACTTATATTCACCCCCAAACCTGGCAGAGGGGATGGAAACAAGTAAAGGGGTCCCTCAGCAACTGGAAAATCTGCTATATCAGTGTTCCTGATGATCTCCCTAGTTCACCTCTTCCCTGACACCTTGTAAGGGGGAAAATTTCTTTTCTAACAAAAAAATTGTTGTTTTTCATTTCTAAAAACAATGCATTGCTTCAGGTGACTAAATTTTTCAAAACCCAATTGTATTTAAAAATACTGTTACCCAGTTTGAGCCTTTCACTGACCTCCAGAGAAGTGTGATATATCAAGTATCTCTTAATATTGCTTTTCTTTCACCCTTCTCAAAGAAAATGCAAGGTCAGTTTGCAAAGCCTGGGCAATTTCAAACTAGGCTTCTTGGAACTTAAAAAAAAAATTGTAATGTTCAATACATCAGATGCCTCTTTTATTTTTTTAGCTCTTGCATGTGATTTACAAGGAGGCTTAATATCACACACCCTGGCTGCATTGCCAATATCAATATTTAAAAACTAAATACAAAAGAAACAGATGACCTCCTGACCCCAGGAAACAGGCCTGCAAAACTGCAAGTATCCACTACATCTACCCAGGGAGCCTTCTTCCACATGACCCACCAAAAAAGAAAAAAAGAATCACATATATGTAGCATGGAAAACACTAATTTGTATACACAAAAAGCAACACCAAAATCTACTCAAAGATACACATATAAACAACCAAAAAGTACTGAAATTGCCTGAACTTGCTGGGAATTGCAAAACCACATCCAGCTCTCTGAGCCCTTAAAAATACTACTGTCAAATTAGGGTAGTAGTGTTTCCCCACTGGAGAATTCACAGCTAGTTTCCCCACCCCCCTTGCCAGCCCTCTGCCTTTCACTGAAATGAATAAATAACCCTGGACTTTTTTCCCTCCTCTGGGAGCTGTTTGGTCTCCCCCGACGACAAAACCAAATGAGAGA